CAAAACAAACAAAGTAATTATTAAGGACGTGAGAACGATCAACTACGTCAGTTTTATTGTTCTGTTTCCACAAAGTTATTGAAATGTAGTTACATTTCAAGTAAAGCCGTTGGTAATACACCTGAAATTAGCCTTAAAATTTAGTACGAAAACAAAAATCTTTGCTCTTTACACGTTTTATTCATTGTATTGGAACATTACCAAAATTAATAAGAAAACACAAATTTGAACTCATTGAAAGTTTTATTCATCGTACTATGAAATCATGTGGACTCACTAGATTAACGATGGTAAGCTTGCATAAATCTGTAATGTATATGGTAATGGATAAGATCGAAGATTGGTGTTACTGCCTTTTACGTGACACTTCCCTGTTGTTATTTAATGTTAACCCTAGAAATTGTACTTGCAACTTCAAACGAATTTTCAAACATGTGGTAAGAATGGCATATCATGGGTCATTCGAAGCATCTATACATTCTTTTTCTTACTCAACTTGTCGAGTACATAAGTTATAGTTCTGATAAAATCGTAACAGTTTTAAACGTTAATATAAATGCAATACAAAACTGAATAGTTAGTGTTCTCATCAATGTACTTTATCAGAAACTGATAATATGTATTCTCGAACTTCCTGTTTTCCTGAAATCACATTTAGATACTTCTAGCCTACTTTTTCCCATAACATATAATCACAGAAGCTGTGTCCGCTGGGGAAAATTGTCGCTCTCGTTTTACTACTAGTTTTTTGTTTTTTTCTGTTTCATTTCCGGATTGTATCTTTGCCATATGTGCTCCAAATTAGCTTCGGTGCTTTTCTTATTTTTTAACTGTGTGTTTAAGTTACCCAAACTCTTTGCTTCCAAGAACTCCACGAGTGATTCGCTTGTCTTTGTCTGTGTGTGCTTGTTGTAGTCACTCATCAGTATAGCACAGTCGTCAACGAAGAAAAAACACACGTATTTTTAGTTAAAATTTGATTTATTAGATCTCACCACAACCAAATTCTCTAGTTTTGAAATTATAAAAAAATCAAAACCAAGTTATGTCCGTGAACAATTACACAAGCGTAGAATTTGGCGTCAAGTTCTCAACATGTAATTATTTTTGCGTGCAGTTATTTTGATCGTTAAGTTTAGGTTGGATGTCGCTTTGTACGCCACACGAGTAAAAAAAAGACAATTGAAAGCCTCATCTTACGTCAGTTATGATTCACGTAGTGGCTGAAATGATACTCTATTAATGATAAAAAATTAACAGTCGTTAAAGAGTATCTCTAGAAGATCTAAATATTATCCATTCATGTTTTACCAAGACGTTTTGTTTGAAATATTACTTGTACACTATGAAGTATCGTAAATGCTCTGCTAGCTGTTATTTTTGCCTCCCCCCAATGGCTTAGCTAAAAGTCAGGTCTCGATACCCGTAATAGGCACAGCATAGATATCCCCTTGTGTAACTTTAGCTTAACAAAAACAAACACAATCTTATATAACATTTATCCGCAACCTACTTCTATCTTGACTTAAAGTACTGTAATTCTACCTTTTAAATGTACTGCTTACTCTTCCAGTCTTAATATTAACTCTAAGTAATCAACAATGAACGTATTTCTGCGTTTGTAGCTCTGTCAGTCAGTTCCATTGTAGGTGTTTTTAGAACTTATATAACATTTATCCGCAACCTACTTCTATCTTGACTTAAAGTACTGTAATTCTACCTTTTAAATGTACTGCTTACTCTTCCAGTCTTAATATTAACTCTAAGTAATCAACAATGAACGTATTTA